CTCGCCTCGCGAGAGGAAGGTCGCGGCTGCCCCGAGGCGACCGGGCCCCGTTGCTAAGGAGCGCCTTGTTTACGGCGTCCCCCGCAACCGCCCCGCAGACAGCGCAGCGCGCGGGGAGCTTGCGCTCCTAACGTGGCAGTTAACGTAGTCGCCGTAGTGAACGGGTTCTCCCGCGCTACCTGCGCGCGGGCGTTTCCTCTGCGACCGTTACTAGGAGACTCGTCTCGTCCCAAAAGCCAATTAGGGGCCGCTATCAATCATTCAAATCACCCAATAGAGGAAGCCGCTCAGACTTTTCAGTTGGGGAGGGAACGGAGATCCAATGAGAAGAGGAGGAGCTTCACCCGACCGTTGTAACGTTCTAATAGAAAATTGGAGGGAGAACGTGCTCGCGCTAAAAACGTTCAAGCGTGGGCAGGCCGTCGGTTGAGACTGGCGTCTTAAGCGCCCAATCAACAGCTTAGACCGAGCATTTTCGTTCAATCGCCGCCGGCGAGGCAGATGACGGGTAAGGTGGAGTGAGGTTGAGACGACGCGCGCGGCCACGCAGTGCCGCCCCCTTTCTTGCGCCCCCTATATAAAGGCGTGTCCGTTACCTTGACGCAGCTAGTATTCGTCGTGCCGTCGGTGGTGCTCGTCCTGCCGTCTGGACTGGAGAGAAGAGGCCGCTCCTGCCCGTCAGTTCCGACGCCATGAGGGAGATCGTGCATTTGCAGGCCGGCCAGTGCGGCAACCAGATCGGCGCCAAGGTCGGCCGACCTGGCCACGAAGGAGGAGGCCGGGTGGGGCTCGGGAGGCCGCCGCCGCCTCGTTCTCATCGCTCTCCCCGCTTTCTCGCCCTTAGTTCTGGGAGGTGATATCGGACGAGCATGGCATCGACCCCACGGGCACGTACCACGGCGACAGCGACCTCCAGCTCGAGCGCATCAACGTCTATTACAATGAGGCCACCGGTGCGTCCGTGGGTGGGAGCGCCTCTGGGCGCGTGCAGAGTGCCTGCGGCGCTCGCTGGGATCTCGTCGGCGCCGCCGCCATTTCTCTCCTAGAGAGCGGGTCGTGGGTGATGGGGCCTGTAGTCCTTGCCCCTAAGCCGAGGAGCCCGAGCGAAAGC